TCCCGGAGGACTCTGGGCGGCTTACAGAAACAAAAATTAAGAAAGATTAAAAACAGATAAAACAGGGCAAATTTTAAAAAGACACAACATGCACCCAATCTAAGCGGGGCTGGACCTCAATCCAGAGGTCAACAGCCCCAGGCCTGCCAGAATAGCCAGGTTTTAATAACTTTCCGGAAGGCCATGAGAGTGGGTAGGGTCCGGATCTCTGTTGGTAGCTCATTCCATAGGGCCAGAGTGGCAACAGAGAAGGCCCTACTCCGAGGCGTCGCCAGCCGGCATTGTCCAGCTGATGGCACCCGGAGAAAGCCCATCCTGTGCGATCTTATCGGTCTTAGGGAGGTGTGCGGCAGAAGACGGTCTCGTAGATATCCGGGTCCTAGGCCATGTAGGGGGCCATAGTGGGAAGGACACCACTCTGTCTGTGACACCCCCTTTTTATTTCTCTTTCTAATACGCCTTCCCCCTCTCTCTCACTCCCAAGCAGGAAGTATGATCTCTTGTAGAGTAGTTTTGAAATTAGCCAGAGAGCTGTGTGCAACTTTAAGGAGTCACAAGTACTCTCTTAAGGCCCCACTTGCTCAGGGCAATAATCCTTTACGATGAGGGAATATCGTGAACATCTTCAAGTCTGGTCTCTGAGCTCAATCTTCCTGAGAGGGAGAAACTCTAATCTTTCCAATCATTTGTTCCCCAGCTTATAGGTCCATGTATGGACTTCCAACTTCCAGAATTCACAATAATGATCATGCTGGCCAGAAAATCCTGCAGATTAATAACTATGAATCCAGAGATCACCAAGGTGGAAAAGATCTGGGTTAACTGTTACCTGTCCCACCATAGTTTGATGTGCTACAGGTTTTACTGAAGGACTCTTATTGGTTGCTTTAGGATTCAGAGTTTTAATGCTAAACCAGAAAAGGTTTGGGTGTATTAGACAGAACACTATTTCTCTCCGTTTTGTGGGTTCCTGAATCTCATCACAAAATTAGGCTCAATCTCTACTCCTTTTTCCATTTTTCTTCAGCCTCAGTGCCACAGTTCACCAATTCACCAACTATGGTGATCATGGTAGGATTGCCAGCACGGGGAAAAACTTACATCTCTAAAAAGCTCACTCGCTACCTGAACTGGATTGGGATCCCCACTAAAGGTATGGAAGGGAATAAATGATTCATTCGAGGTGAATGGAATCAAAAGGGCAGAGGGAGAGCCTCTCAAGCCAACACAGAAGGACTTACTTAAAAATACCGAGCCATCTTAGTCTCCATCTCCCTAGTGTTCAATGTTGGACAGTATCGCCGTGAAGCCGTCCAGACATACAAGAATTATGAGTTCTTCCGCGCAGACAATGAGGAAGCTATGCAGATCCGGAGGTGAGGAACTTATTCAGATCTGATTGGTACAGTGGAGAAGTCGGAGAAGGTTGTTTCCTACCGCAATGCCCACCATAGTCTGCCAGGACGCCTTCCCATGTCCTAGTTCGGCTTAACTTGGGGAGAGGGGCAGCAAGGAGCCAAGGTGGCGCAGTGGTTAAATGCAGCACTGCAGGCTACTTCAGCTGACTGCAGTTCGGCAGTTCGGCTGTTCAAATCCCACCAGGCTCAAGGTTGACTCAGCCTTCCATCCTTCCGAGGTGGGTAAAATGAGGACCCAGATTGTTGTTGGGGGTGATATGCTGACTCTGTAAACCGCTTAGAGAGGGCTGAAAGCCCTATGAAGCGGTATATAAGTCTAACAATTGCTATATTGCTATTGCTGGAGTCAGTGCATCAAGAGCCACCACACAGACGGATCCTGGACATGGGCTTCAAATTTCGTATTCCTCTTGTCAAGCCGCTCCTGAACAACAAACAACATCAGAAGCATCTTAACTGGGTTAAAGAAAAACGGGCCTGATCTGTTGCTCAGTGGTCCAAAGTCCTTTTCTTTGATGAAACTTTTTTGAGTTTCACCTATATGGCATATAATGACAAAATACATATACAGTATTTTGCTTTTGAAAATCCATGCCTAAATTGTGATGAAAAACAAGT